TATATATATATTCGCATTCGACACAGTAACACTAAAAAGTACGGTCCCACAAGGGCACCTGGAAAGTTCTCCGATGCCCCCCCCCCATCAGCTGTTAAGTAGTAACAGTCGAGCACGCGTCAGACCAGCCGTTGGCCGTGTCGTCCCCCAAACAAAGCACACATTCGCAACAATGCGCTCGAGCGAACTCCGTATCGGGAACGCCCTCCTCGTGTCTCTCCTGTAAGTTCCTTCGACTCCAAGTTTCTCTCGGGCATTCCGGCTTCTAAATTCAAAACAGCCTCGCTCCTACCGACGTGCGACGGCGCTGTACGTACACGGCACGTGTTTTGTTAAAAGTACTTGTTTGATTTTATTTGTAAAAAAAATAGCCCCATGGCCATGGATAAAATTGGGACGCTCCTCGAGCCAAGAATCACTTTCATACCGATTTATCCGCGATACTCGATCGGATACAAGACAGCGGCACTCGATATACGGTGATTAATCTCCTCGCTGTAACACCGCGACCGCGACGCGATCGATCGTCCCTTGGTGTTTTTTTCCTTTTTTTCCGCCCGAGCGAGCTTTGGCGTCATTAGTCTTCGTGGAGGCGTCCGATCGTAAAGGGAGCTCTAAAAACTCGGTGAAAAATCGTCTCGTCCGAATACATATTCGGGTGTATCTCCTCGAACGACGATCGAGTCGTCCTTTAACGAGCCATACCACGAATACCAGGCACGTATCGTTGGTATACATTTATCCTCGAGCTCCCTAATCACGTGTGAGAATCCATCAATCTTCGACTACTTTATTTGCCAATCAACTGGGCCCCCCTTTCCAATACGTGTTTTCACTCACCTGAGTTAACTTTTTTCAGTAATTTTTTTTTTTTCTCGGGAGACTAGCGCACGTGCAATCTCGGTATAGTGCTAGTGGCTGTTGTTGAGCTGACTTGGTCTCCCTTGGCGTCATCAATTAAATTTTAGTGTAAAGGTTCTTGTCACGATTACTGAGATCTTCGACAGGAGTGGGTGAAAATCTGAGCTTAACAACTTACCAGAGTCGCGTGAAATCGAAACTTTTCAGAGAATACCGTCCCTTCTCGTTGTTGTTGTTGTTGTAGAGCTTTGCTTTTCTACAGATTTCCACTCGAGTGTACGAGAGAACGTAGGACAGAAAAGTAGTTCCAGCTAAAGCTGCAGTATCAATAATTCATTGAGATACGCCGAGAACTTTTATATTCTCACCGGTTCAAAGAAAATGTTTTAATTTTTCACGAAAAACTTTCGCGCTTCTCTCGAGGATTGAATACAGTTTGGTATCATCGAGGAATGGGTAACGAAAAAAAGAGTGTTATGAATAGTAAGATCAGCAACATGCGAGCCTCTGAATGCTAAATTTTTTTTTTTTTAATTTCCGAGATCTCATTAACTCGCCTCGTCATTCGTCTTGATCAGCTCTCAAAGGAGATTAAGAAAAAGAAGAAAAAAAGGAGGAGGAGAAAGAAGAGCAGCAGGAGAAGAAGGGATCAAGGGATCAGGCGTCGCGAGCGAAGCCGCTGTGATTTAAAATTAATTCCCCTCAATTTTATCCCGAAGCTTTTCTTTTTTACCCTTCTTCTCTCCACTCTCCCAACCGAAGCGCGTAATTGGATCAATGAAACTAGTCATTTTTTTCCTAGCTAACTGTGTATTTTTTTTTTTTTTTCATCTTTTTTTTTTTAGGTATCGACTGTATTTTTTACGAAAATTTGTGTAAGGACTATCGAGCCGGTCTTACTACTACAACAATCATAACAATCCAATCATATTAANTTCACCCTTTTTTTTTTTTTTAATTTCATGGGACGTTATACATTTTTCAAAAGCCATTTATTTCCATACGGAGCAAAAGTTGATCAATGGTGCACCCTAGACTTTGTTTGATGATATTTTGCCACATTCCAGTTGGTTCATAAATTATTTCCTTGCTGATAAGGATACTGTTCTCATTAGCAAAAAGCTAAAAAAATGTACAGCCTCGCCTTGATTAAGCGTTGATTCACCCAAGGAGTTTATAAGAATATGAAACAAGTGAAAGTTTGATTGGTCAAGGACAAGTGAATCTAGCGGTAAAAACACCCTGTCGCTACTATTTGTCATTTTCATAAGCGATTTTGGTGAAATTAGGAGAATCATTTCCGAGCTGAAAACGAATTGACATAAATTGAAAGGTCTTAAAGGAGGCCAAACATTCTCGGCAAAATCTCGAAGCGCAAATTTATTCATCCACCCATGGAAGTCTGCATAAAGGTGCTCTTTACACAACATATGACTTATTGTCACGATGATGCATTGCTTTCATACGTATTAAGGAAAACTGATGCGACACGCAAGGAATTAATTTTGGGATTTGGGATTGGCTAAATAGTACGAATTTTGATAATTTCAATAAAAATGTAATCAAAGTGTAAACAGCATGTCCAAGTGCTAAATAAAATTTATGGAGGAATTAAAAGAAAAAAAGGACTAAGCGCAAGCAAGTAGATTCACAGGTGCGAATGAAACAATGGGAAAGCTCGATGCTGTTTGAAATGCATAATCCAGCGAGGGTGGGGGGGGGGAGGAATAAAGGTGTACGGAAGGATGCAATAAACCACAGAGGGGAAGAAAAAGTGGCCCACGCGAGGCTCGAGAGAGCAAAGTGAGCGTTCGCGTACGTAAGTATTCAAGCCTCCGGTGCCCTACTTCCTGTATACCAAAGTCCCAGATGGCTGGCCTATTGTACACTCCTCTGGAGGCATGCTGGGAAAAGGAGTAATGGGTGCACGTGTCCGGTGTTTCCTCTGCTCTTTGTCTTCCCTTTTCCACGTGTTTTTGGCAGTGGAGCCGGCCACTCGGGAATATTTTGGGAGGTCGTTGCTTTTTTTCGAATGCCTACAATTTTTAGCTCGTGCTCGTTATAAAATTTCAAATAATTAAAAAAAAAAAACCTTTTTTTTTATGTCGTCATGTAGGTACGTCGTTAAAAATGTGTCATGTTATCAAAGACGTTTCGTGTGATGAAATAATAATTAAACACGTATTTCTCATCACGCGGAAAAGGGATATTCGTGTCACCGGCAAAGTGTTCTTTCAAAAGCACAAATTGTTGAAAAATTTAATTAAAATTTTTCTACAAATTTTTAGTATCCAATATCAGATTTTCAGCTTTCAGTTAAAATTAAATTATTATACGTAAACCAATCACTATTTGATGGCTTTATTAATTTATGGTTATTGTTTGATTTTTTTTTAAACGAAATTTTAGACTCGAGTAAGTGTATGAAACCGTTGGATGCCAGATTAAAATTTTTTACATGTTTAATAAGAAAAGTTCGTGTACGAGAATAGTACTCGTAATAAACTGCTGCGATCGTCCGAAACTCTACAACTTTCACCGTCCCATATCCGACGTTTAATCCCTGAAACTAGTTGATATCAAAAGCTCTTTCTCTCACGATGATGGACCAAATTCTTTTTTTTTTTTTTTTTCAATCTGCATTTAAAAGGAAGGAATCACGCAGACGGGAGTAAATAATCATCCCGAGGATGAAAAAATGACAAAGCTCATAAGAAGCTTGCGATTACTCGCTGAAATAATATAAGCTTGACCATTTGGATTAAGGATACGTTTTTTCGTTTGTCCGACTTTATCTGCTTTTAAAAGCTTTTTTCACTGCAAGCTATAAAGAAACACTTTTTCTCTGCCTTAAATAATCTAGCTCGTGTATACGTAGCTGAACCATGTCAACCTTTTATCTCACGTATCAACTTAAAAAATAAAAAATAAAACATGATACCTGACCTGACTAACAGCGAAAATGGTCTATTTTTTGGTAAACATGTTTGGAATTTGTTATTCATGCATAGTAAAACGATAAAATACGATCAAAAAGTACAAAGTTCTTTTTTTTTTTCATTTTTATCGTCTTCCTTAGATTTTGTAACTATCCAATCATACATTTGATTTGAAAGAAGAATTCATAGCTACCGAGTAGAAGTAACGCAATGACTTTTTATAAACTGCTTGAAAAAAACAGGTAAAAGCATTTCGCAAATTTGACGCAAAATGAATAATTCCTTACGATGATGAAAGCCGACACGAGTAACGTGTGAATATATGTTTATTTGGTAATGATTTATGCGCGTATCGGCACAATTTCTCCAAATCTATTG